CCAAACACCTGCATCAGTCAATAAGGCCACTAATCTATGTTTCGAAGGATGTGCAAATTGTTTATGTAATTTTAATAAAGCCTTATAACATTCATCCTGAGACAAAGTATTCGATTGGACGCTAAAAACCTCATCCAATCGAGTATCACTAGCTATAGGGACACTGTAATGTCCACTAGATGTGAAGTCTAATGCACATTTCTTTCCAGAAATCTCTGCTTGATCATATTCCAGATCCAATTTGACATTGGCACTCTTTAATGTCTTAAAGCTTAATAACAAAGGAATAGTAGAGTCCACAATGTCAATTTCAAGCATAAAATGATGCTCCACAATAACACATGGAACATGAACACGCTTCAGGGATTGAAGATCCACCTCCAAATTTAAAACATTTGGTACCAGGAAATTCTTTAATTTTACTAATTTTATTAGGTGGAAATGTGCTTAGAAATGTTTCATACCAAACTTTACCACACACAGTACAGTGCACTCTGTCACATCCAACAGGATCATTACAATATGTCGGATTACGCAGAATGTCGGAATACCCAGTTTTCTCAAAACCGGAAATATTGTAACTTTGAAAACCGGAAGTATTATTATAATGTAGCTTCAAACATAGAAGTTCGAATCACCAGAATGTTATTCCCTTTAAAAATGATAAACCTTTCTGTACATTCAAAATTTTATTACATTAATCTTTATTTCATTTAACATGCGTAGGCATTTTGAATAGGTCAAGTCTGTCATTAATTTATCTTCTTCGCCGTCTTCAGCTGATCGCACTCTTGTCTTTGCTATCACGTGTTCATTGATAATGGGGGTACTCGATTGAACGTTCCGGAATTGAATTCTCTCAATTCCAAAAATAGTGACAATCGAGTGAAAATGGGTACTTCGGGCTACAACGTATGTGTCGACTGGATATATAAATATCTCATCCAACCATGCAGCCGAAACCTGTTCGTCGTGTTTAATTATGTCACAATTCTACTCACACCACCTCCGTCGTTGGGACTGACAGAACTGTGGCAGGACTGAATTCCGCGTCACTCGAAGAGATCCGTAAGGTGACCAAACTTATAGGTTATTCAGGTTCATTCGGCATGCGCAACGAATGTTTCCAACAGGTGCTAGGAATATTTTCACGACTGAATTTGGGGGAAAATTCGTGGATATTCTTGAGTATTTGTCACAACTGTCGTACAAGAGATTAAAATTATCAAAGTAATCAACAAAGACCCACGGTAGCGAGTTTTAATCTCACAGATAATTGATTGGTGATTGCTTGTTAATCTTTTGTGGCTTCACACCCATCCAGTTTTAATTTCACGGATAATTGATCGGTAAGTGTTTGCTTCACACCCACCGATTGAAGGCCAAATTATAGCGTGTCGATTCAATGGAAATCGTATGACGGGACGGCTGATTGATGTCTTAATCCGGAACGTACAGAGTTCGAATTACCCAGAGATTTTTTGGCTGAAGTAATAAGGAAATAAATCGGGACATGAAAATGGTGTCAGATGTAATCGAAATTTTAAGAAATACTGCAACTTCATTGGATATATGCAAATTGATTTTACTGGTCAGCCAATCGAATTGCAGTATTTCTTAAAATTTTGATTTTATCTTAGTTTAAGTTTTCGTGAATAAGGGCCCAGAGATTGGGTGTGACAGAGTGCACTGTACTTGTACATGCTGTATCCAATACAGCACTGTGTTGCGATTCTTTGCCTAACCTGTTAATTTCAGCTTCATTATAACCTGTATACATGATAACATTTTCTGCACTTTCAGTCAACAACACATCACTTTTATCACCGGAATCTGTAGTGTTCACATTTTCCCAACTGTCAGGACAGTCTTTTAACAAATGACGAAAAGAACCACAAATGACAACGCATATATAGCACGTCCAGAAAATGACTTTGGGTTACTAAATTTATCCATACTAGCACCTCTACCTCTATAGCCAACATATTGAAAACCTCTCAAAGGGGGGCGACCTCGTCCACCGCGATAACCGGCACCACAATTAAATTTATAATAACCTGCTGCCGCAAGAACACTTTCTGAAGGTAAGAAGGTAAGGGTTCCAATTTAAAGTTACTATGTATTGGAGCAGAAGAGGTACCCGAGCCCTTAAACTTTCTTTTAGAGAAACTTTGGCTTGGTGGTACATGGTTGCTTTATTTTCATAGTTCATTCCTGTAAGGACTATCATACGGTCATCATCAGATATATTTGAACATTTTAAAAGTTTGAATGCCAGAATTTCCGGTAATAAAGTCATTCCTTTTTTCACTATTTTGGCATACTTTGAATCAAAATCTGAGATAAATTCACTGATTGACTGATCATCCTTTCGTTTATTATAGTCCTCAAATGTTTATCAAGAAATGTTAACAAACCATTGAAACCTTGATCTGTCTTCAACTCGTCGATACTCAGTTCATCGAACACTCTCTCACGTATACATACTATGATTTTCGTGTTCTGGAAGAGAAAATGCCACAGCAATTCCTTGCTTGGCCTTCTCTAAATTAGTTATTTCCCTCCATGCAATTAACTCTTGCTTGTAACGTTCATAATTTTTATCGTCAGAAAACACCGGAGGATTCAACTTCAAACTCATTTTCTGTTTCAACCGCTGTCGTTTGTTTACAATTTGTCCAACTCCCGGTAAATGGTCGCTCAATGGCTTTACGCTAACCTCACATTTTTATACTTCCGGTTTTTCGCCAATCGTATTTATTCACTGAATTTTCTTCTGACTTCACTGTCAATTCACATAAAAACTTATGTGAACGCGCTAGGTATAGTTTTCGCCACTATATTGAGCGCCTCAATAGGTGATAAACTGCGGTTGCAGGAACCATTTTGTTTTTCAAAAACGCATTTTTAGCCCCATAAATCAATTTTTCTTGCAACCGCAGTTTATCGCCTCTTCCATACGTGCTAGGTATTAGTATTCTACGCATCTTGGCTAAAATTTTAATTTTTTAAAACACAGGAACAGTGCCCACTAATCTAGCCTAGTTGGAGGCGTGGCATTTTTGGGCGTGTCTGTTAGGGGTTACCCACCGTACAAATTGTCTGGCAGAGGTCATTCATGATTCCCATCGTGGTACTGAACAACTCCAAAGCTGTTTTAGGTGGTACAGATTTCAGCTAATCTAGCCTAGCTGTGGTCTTGAAATTAGATAACTCTTGTCAGGGATACTCCACCACTACAAATGTCTTGCAATTACAAAGCTCTGTCAGGGGTAACCCACCACTAGAAATGTCTGTCAAGAGTGTTTTTGTAATATCTGAAGATGTACGGTACACTGCTGTACGATTTTCATGTGGTACACTTTTGAGTTAATCTAGCCTACTTAGGGGGCATTGCATTTTGGGCGTGGAATACAGGCCTTCACGTGAATAAATTCCTGGGGAGTCAAAAAAAGCTCCCCTGAAATTGGAAAAAGGGGAAATCGCTCTCCTGAGAAAGCTCTCCTGAATCTCTTGTGGAGAGCTTTGTTAGCATTTGTGATAAAGTCCAGAGATTTTAATCCATTTTGAAACCAACCAGCCAGAATTGGGTCAAATGAGGTCCCGGTAAGAAATAGGGTAATTTGAAGCTCCCGTTAACTTTAATATCTGATTCCAACAAGTTCAAGTCAGTAATATTCCTGTCTTCGTTTATTTGATGGATAAACGGATATCATCAGTCGATCGAAATTAGGATTTATCTACTACGGCAAAAATAAGCTGATACGACACCATGACATTTCTTCATATTTAAAACACAAATTAATGTTTTTGTCTATCATGTAATTTACAAAGTTTTTGTTTTTATTCATTCGTGGATGAAAGACAAGCGACACAATGATCATGTGACTCCCATAATTGAAATTGCTTTATATAAAATAAAATTCCATACAACTATGCCATGGCCTTAAATAAAAAGGGCAATATTTTTAAGAATAAGTCCCTGTCAGCATGTGTATAAAATAAAAATGAATATAACTAAAACACTATTTAAAACTAAATCTTGCAATGCTGGTTTATTGACCTAATTCCAACCAATGCATGTGTTATCGGGAATCTGAAAGCATTGAAGATCTTGAGGGAAAAATAATTTACTAATATCTGTTTCTGGGGATATCAGGTGTCCTATCAGGGATTATTCAATGAATATTTAAATTTAAAAAACAACGGGTCAGTGAAACCATAAAATGCATTATCCAATTATTATTTTCATATCTACCTAGAATTTGTATGGATCGAGAGTCGAGACGGGACGGGGCGCGAAGCACGAGATTCACAATCCATGCAGAGCGATATGTCTTCCTTCGCCATGTGATTTATTATTACAAAGGAAACTTACTGGACCTGTTATGAATAACCAGCAAACTTGGGTTTTTTTATGCCGAATTATAAAAATTACCGTTAAATGTGCTAATTACTCGGATTATGAACCGGATGGCCGAGTCTCACTAAGGTATGACTGTTATTGTAGCCGGCAGGCAAGTTGATTGTCAATATGATATTGACATTATTTTTCGTTACCAGTATATTTTTCCTGATTATTTTCTTTGAGGGGAGTCAAATTAGACATTGAGGAAAGCTATAAAAAGCGCACCTCGACTGACATCCAGGAGCGTCCAGGAGAGCGAGAGCGATCACGCTCCTTTTACATGAAAGCCTGGGAATACCACACCCACCACCAGAAAACCGGCAGACTTACATTCTGATGATACCAGATATACATGCATTGATAACATATAGGAGAAAATTGGTACACTTTTCAGCTAGGTTGACCCACTGGGCTCCTGGTCTATAATAGTTTAGTTTAAATAGCATGCTCATTACTTAAATGTAAACTAGGAAGGACACTATTCTATAACATGCTATTGAACAATGAATAATGATTGTGAATAATGATTTCATATAAAATAACTATATATTGATGAATCATGCGACTAGTTAATCAGGTTGTTATAATATACCTTGGTATTCTAGAATGGGATGATTTAGATGATAATGATCTAATAGAAAACAAAAAAATATAACAAGTTTTCTACAATCAAAATATAAATTATCCAAAATTTATCATAGATATGACATACAGATACACACAGATAGCAGAAAGTATCATGAACAGCAAATACACCCACTTGAATTGTAGAAAATCGCAGCAAGGACTAGTTTTAAAGGTTAGTTTTTCATGGTATAAATAACTACATGAATAGAGAGAGAAATGGGGTTTAACGTCCATTCGACACAAACCAGGTCATTTCAGGACTAACATATGGTTCAATTTTATTTCAATAATTCGCTTGCGCGTAGGGGTCTTTAGCAGTGGGAGAAAAACCCACAAGGTTTGACAGCCGACCCTACTCCTTGTCAGGTACAACTGGGGAAACGAAACCACGCCAGTTGACTCAATGACAGACCTTATGATACAGTGCGCACATGCTAACCAATCGGCCATCACATGATAACTCTGATAATTCTGACATTTAGATGAAATCATGTGTGATAACTGATCAATTTAAAATTAGAAATCATCAGCGATCCCATGAATATAAATTCACACAACAAACCAAGTTTCAATTCTTGCTGGATAGCTGGACGGACAGGAGTAACGACAATATTTACAAAGTGTAATAGTATAACTGTAAGATAGCATTTATAGAGCGCTAATACCAGTACAATTTGTAGCGTAATTATACAGATAGATGTCTTCAATAAATGTCTAAAATAATAAACACTTTCAAACAAAAAAAACAAAGGCATACAAGGCCTACATGTATGACACAGATTTATCAAAATAGTTAACCAGTATGCTATCAAATAATTAGCAAAATGTTAAACTTCAAAAATACTAATTACTTCTTTTATATATAAAAGAAAATATATACCCAACACTACTGGTACTAGAAGATAATAAAGAGAAAGCATCATCTAAAAGTTGATGCATTCGTTTTCTGGCTTCATGTAAAGATTCTGGTGCTTTCTCAACCTCTTCGTTTTCATCATCACTATAACCATCATTCTATAAATTATCAACAATATTATCAATTAAAATATATATCACCTTGGCAGCATAGATAAACAAGTTTAATTACATCCCACTTCTACCTCGTTGCCAGTGGCAACCTTTGATAAAACTGTCCTGTTTATTTCCAATACAGGCATAAAAGTATCCGTGTATCAGAAATGAACAGTACGCTTTCCAGAAAGAGTACTGTTCATTTCCGACAAACAAACACTAATCACCTAGAAAGTCATAAATTTTATCACAAATAAATTTCAACTGACGAACCATCCGCTGATGCACACTTCACCAGGATTGACCCACGTTGTGCAGTGTCCTTTACATAAAGTTTAATATTCTGAGCGCTATGGAAAACGCATCACTTAGTTTTTCGTATAACAAAATGATCCTGTAAACATATCTTATTTATTTTGCTTCTTATTGTGAACAATATTCAAATAGGAACACATCAATAACAACACATTTGTACACTTATGGATGTTTAATCTGTAATCAACGGTACAAAGTCAGAGGGGTCAAAACCAAAAGTACGACACAGATGTCAGTAACGCGTGTGTCCTCCACAGGCTCTTACACACGCTGTGCAGCGACGTCGCATGGAATTTACCAAGAAGGCCTAGGGCAAATTGTTCCATTCTTGGAAAAGAGCAGCTTCTAAAGCAGCAAGGGTGTGCATCTGTGGTCTCCGATACAGACGACGTCCAATCTCATCCCAGACATGTTCTATCGGTGCCATGTCCGGAGACATGGCTGGCCAGTCCAAGACATTGATGTTGTTAGCAGCCAGGTAGTCCATACTAAAACGGGCGGTATGCGGACGTGCATTATCCTGTTGGAAGTGCTGAAGTTGTGGGTGTGCTCGAAACATCTGAACAATTTGGCCCCTCGACCAAAACTGTCCTGATCTTCACCGATACACTGAGGAAAGTGTGCTTATAACTACTACTTACATATTTGTAATTTACGCAAAAAAGTCACTCTAAATAGACATCTTTGAGGAGTATAGGTCATTTAGAAGTTATTTTAAAATCAACGTGAAAGTCAACAATTTTGATGACAGCCATTAAAACTTCATCACCGCACAGATTTCAAGTGCCAATTAAAAATATAAGCCACCAAATACATAAGATGGACTTTAATGTATCTTACAGTAGGGTAATTAAAGTTTCATTCTCGAACTTTTTCAGAATTTTAACCTCTGTCCCACATGGGCAAAATTGAAGGTGAAAATGGGTGTATTTTGTACGTTTTCACTTTTCAGTGTGCACTGAATATCGAGACTGAATATTTGGAAAAGTATATATCCCATCGACTCAGAATCTTTTGTAAATTGATAAAAGACTATGCCAATTTTGGAGGTTGTGTATGCAATAGTGACTTTGCCAGTGGCTGTGTAAATCCTGAAAAAAAAGAGTGAATAGTTCATTTGTTCCACATTTTGCCAGCTGGTGGCACGAACTGTGTGAAACACACATTGCGTGTGATGCTAAATTCATAATCTACACCAAAAGTTGCCTTAGATTACAGAATTAGAGAGTTCTACTCCTATTAGAAATGTGAGTTTAAAGCACCCGAAAACCTGAAAAAAATTACTGAATTTATGATCCGTTTCAGTACCCTAATTTCAAATGGCCATATCTCAGCGAATTTTCTGCCTAAAGAGGTATAATTTTGGCTTTGTTAGCTTAAGTCCATGTACTGTAACATATATTTTTTATAATTTTTTTGGAGGAGGTCATGTTCCCAACTTTCTGAAATTTGGTCCACTGACAGAATCTCCATTGCCGAATTCCAATGACACGTGACATATTGGTTGGAATTATGACAATAAACCAGTTCTAAATAGCGTTTACCATTATGTTTTTTTATTTTATACACTACTGACAGAGGCTTGATTTTAAAGAAAATTATTGAAGGCTATATCATAGTCGTACAGAATTTTACTTAATAGCAATTTCAGTTAAGGTTGTTACGTGATCATTGTGCCGTTTGTCTATCATCGACAAATGAATAAAAACTTTTGCAAGTTACGTGATGGACAAAGGACTACAAATTGTGTTATGAAGAAATGCCATGGCGCCGTATCAACTTATTTTGGCTAAGGCATTTTCTGATACTGGCAATAAACAATAAACACAATTTTGTTTTTTAAGACAGTATTAATATTAAGATTCGAAAGATTTGCGCAGATTGCATATATGCGAATCCTCTTAGATTCTCGCAAAAATTGACGAATTTCTAGCCCTGCCACTTACTTATATGTGCCAAGATGGTGGTGAGACGTTACAGCCCTCACATTTGATTTTAGGCCGTCGTTTGTTATCCCAAACCAATGATTCAAGTAATGTGAACGATTTTAGTGTTAGAACGAATAAAAATTGTAGAAAACAAAATTCTTATCTGAATATAGTGTTAACCCATTTCCGAAATAGATGGCGGAAAGACTATTTAACAGATTTAAGAGATCACCATCAATCCAGAACCAAGAAAGGTCCTACTGTTCATGTTGTTGACATAGTCGTTGTCCAAGAAGATAAAATCCCAAGGTTAAACTGGAGTATAGCTTTTGTAGAGAAAACGTTTGAAGGTCAAGATGGCAATATTCATGCTGCGGAAATTCGTGTACATGATAAACTTGGTAGGCCAATCGCGATGAATCAGCCAATTCAAAAGTTGTTTCCTTTAGTTAGTTACAGATATTTGAATATTGAAATATAAATTCTTTGTTTTCAAACAGTAATTTTATAACTCCTAATGTCAAGTTTTAAGATAATAAAGTTTCAGTCTATTACGAGTGACAGTGTAAAGTATAGTGGGTAGAGTTAAGATCCTGATAATAGCTTTAAATTCCCTTCTATTATATTCTTGATTCTTGCTGGTGGTACTATTTTTCGTATTTATGTAAAATTTGTCGATGCCAAATTTTAGGGGGAAGTGTATTAAGAAAATAGTCTATCAGTAAGGCATAACCAGTGGCTGCCAGGCAGGATACGTCCACATTTTGCAAGAGATGGATAGAGAACAGGCTAAAAACAAATGGGATTTTTTGTACAATCCGGGGCAATAATCCAGAAAGTTATGGTCTGAAATGCGCAAATATCAAAAGTGACTGAGATCTTTGGAATATAAAGATATGTTTTAAGTTTCATCAAAATCGGATAAAAATTGTGACCTGTAGAGGGTCCACAACCTTCGTATTGCATACTTTTACACAATTGCGTACAAAGAGCGGCCATTTTGTCGGGCAGTTTCATTTCGATTTTCCCGAAATTCGAATTCAACCTTCATTATGGTGGAATGGTGGAATATTTAAACGTTTTTTAAAATTAGAAGAAAAAAAATTGCGACCTCTAGAGAATCTGCAAGCTAAAAATGCGATTTTTCGAACAATCAGGAGCCATAATTCAGGAAGTTAAGTTCGGATATACGCGATTATCAAAAGGAACCAAGATCTTAGTGTGTAATGGTGATATATTCACATGTATTTTTAAATCAGATAAAAATTGTGACCTCTACATGGACGGCAAGCTAAAAACGTGATTTTTTTTAAATTCAAGGGTCATAATTCAGGAAATTACGATTTGATGTGCGAGAATATCGAAAGGAAACAAGATATTTGGGTTATAAACATGCATTTCAACTCTCATCAAAATCAGATCAAAATTGTGACCTCTAGAAGGACCACAAGCTTGATATACCAGATGCTATACACTATTTGCGTACGAGGGGTGGCCATTTTGTCCGGCAGTTTAGCCCCGATTTTCACAAAATTCGAACTCAATAAACATTACGGTGCAACGGTGATATATTCAAACTGTTTTTTAAATCAGATAAATATTATGACTGCTATAGGGTCCACAAGCTAAAAACACAATTTTTTGTACAATCAGGGGCCATAATTCAGGAAGTTACTATCCCATATCTGCGAATATCGAAAGGAACCAGGATCTGTGGGTTATCAACTTACATTTCAAGTTTGATCAAAATCAGAAAAAAATTGTGACCTCTAGAGGACCTACAACATTCATATACCTTATTTTTACGCTATTTGAGTACGAGGGGTGGCCATTTATTCTGTCAGTTTTGGTCCGATTTTTACGAAATTTGAACTTAACCATTCTTAGGGTGTAACGGTGATATATTCAAACCCTTTTTTAAATCACACAAAAATTATGAACTATATAGGGCCCACAAGCTAAAATTGTGATTTTTGCGTACAATCAGGGGCCATAATTCAGGAAGTTACGATCCGATATGTGTGAATATAGAAAGGAACCAAGATCTTTGGGTTATAAACTTACATTTCAAGTTTCATCAAAATCAGAAGAAAATTGTGACCTCTAGAGAGTCCACAACCTTGATATATCATTTTTTACGCTATTTGAGTATGAGGGGCGGCCACTTTGTCTGTCAGTTTTGGGCCGATTTTCACGAAATTCGAACTCAACCATTCTTAGGATGTAACGGTGATATACTAAAATGTTTTTTTAAAACGGATAAAAATTATGACCTCTATAGGGTCCACAAGCTAAAAACTTGATTTTTCGTACAATCAGGGGCCATAATTCAGGAAGTTGCGATCTGATATGCGCAAATATCGAAAGGAACCAAGATCTTTGGGTTATAAACATGCATTTCAAGTTTCATCAATATCGGATCAAAATTGTGACCTCTAGAGTGTTCACAAGCTAAAAATGTGATTTTTCGTACAATCAGAGGCCATAATCCATGAAGTTATGGTCCGATACATGCCAATATCGAAAGGAACCGAGATCTTTGGGAGATAGATCTATATTTCAAGTTTCGTCAAAATCAGATAAAAATTGTGACCTTTAGAGTGTCCAAAAACAATTGTTGAGGTACGGACAGGGGTGAATACAATATGAACGCCTACACCAAGTTTGAATATTCTACCTCAATTCGAAGGAGAGTTTTTGTGTTCCAGAGTCTCGTCTAATCAAATTGCTTATCGTTCACTGCTTATCGCTCTGGGCATATAAAAAACGAAACGACATATAGATCTATCTGTATTTTAATCAGATTGGGGCAGAAAATGGTCATTATCGAAATAAGTCAAGGTATTGATGTAATGAAACTATACACGTTTCATCACTCTCACTTAAGTAGAACTAAAGTTATCGTGTCCCAAAGCATGAACCAATCAAATTGCTTATCTCTGCTTACCCTCAGCAGAAAGTGCACAGACAGAACAAACCCATTTTAAAAATCCCCTGCTTTCTTCGAAAGGCGGGGGACAACTATTATGAATTACATATGAGATTTAATGTCATAGAACTATCTTGAATTATATACTTCATTCATACGATTTAATGTTATATAATTATAACTATCATGAATTATTTACTTCATGAAACAAGAGAAATATCATGAATTACTTACTTTATTTGATATTGTTTTACTTCTTTTTGGTTTGCTTGGTCTATAAGAAAATTGTAATTGATATAAATAACAATAGACCATTCGATTTTTATTAATGTTTTTAGAAAAATCCCCACCACAAATGTCAGCCATCTTGAAAGTGTGATAAATAGGTGAACAAATGATAATTTTATACAGTTGTAAATGACTGAAATGAAACATGCACCCCCAGAAACATATATTGACACCAAACACCACTACTTAATCAAAAAATAAAAACATCGTCCCATTTTCCTGACACAAATGGCAGTTGTCTTTGAAATATGCTAAATAGGTTGTAAATGGCAGAAATGGAATCTGCGTTACTGAAAACATACATACTCTTCAAAAAAAGTAGGGGATATTGAAATGCAAATACCTATGCAGGTTGTGATATGATAAATAGTCATGAACACTTGACATGCTTTGAGAGTATGTTCACAGATGATGAACTGAACCACTGAGCTGCACATGTGACATGCAAATGCGCCATACACGTGGGAGGGGTTTATGTGCTGGTTTATCTATCCATGTTTGCTTTTCTATTGGTTCTTGCATAAGATTTACTGTTTAGCGTATCTTTGCTTTAGTGTGTTACGTTTAATTTGATCGGGAGACGTGTTCGTCGACGTCGACATCACCCAACAACACTGCAAGAATTGGCCGTGGCACTGCAAGAGGAGTGGGTCAGATTGCCCCAAATCATGATTGGACGGTTGATGAGGAGCATGCTACGACGAATTGCTGAATGTCTGAGGAATGGTGGAGCAATTACTCATTATTAAGACAAAAATCAAAAATGTCCATTTTCACTTTTGACGGTGTATCTCTTTGCAAGTGAAATGGGGCAGTCAGATAAGCCACCCATATAAACTGTTTATGTTCATGTTTAGGCAATTGGCCTGTTATTAACATACACTGCTTACACCTCTAATAAAAAAGGTAGTGCATTTCCGCAGTTTTGTATCCCTACTTTTTTTGAAGAGTATATATAGGAGCCACAGTGGGTAAGTGGGTAAGGTGCTGGCTCGCTAGCCTGGTGGTCGCGTATTCGATCCCTGCATTGGCCGACAAAGTTCATCGGGATTTTCTGATGTGGTTTCTCCTTGTCAGTGGTGCAGGACGGAGGGACGAAAAACCGAGGTCCTGTGTCTTCATTAACCCAGTCGGATCAAAACAGTAGGACGTTAAACCCCATTTCATTTCATTTTATATACATGCAACATGTTGTGTCATGGGAAATAACTCTTCAATAATCATGGCCTGTCTTCATTATCCCAGTCGGAGCAGAACAGAAGGACATTAAACCCCATTTCATTTTAATAATCAGGGAATTATCTACCTTTTAGCCTTCAAGGATAAGATTTAATCTTGTTTCAGATCTTCTTATATTTATCAACAACAGTTGTTTTCATAAAGAAATTAAGAATTCTTAAGAATAATATATTTACCTTTTTCTTGGTTTTTGTACAAATACATCAGGTAAGTGTTTTTCATTTGGTACATCATCTGATTCTTCTATATCCTTATTACTGGGTCTATTACTGCTTTGGCCTTCAATAGTAAACATGATAACATACAAGACAGACCAATTAGTAAACCAGACTAGAACAATAACTGGCCCTGGTCCAATAGAATTTTGATTATTCATTGATCATGTGTCAAGGTCCTGGCTGAAAATGGGAATTTTGCAACTAAATTTTTTGGACTGATAAACATGACCAAATTTATAAATATTAAATATAAATCTTACCATCTGTTTTGCGTAGTTCCCTCAATCGTTGTTTATTTCTTCTTCTTTCTATTTCCGCTTTCTGCAATAACTCTTCATCCAACTATAAGTATATAACAAGCCAACAGTTAGTTTAAACTGCTGAACCCTGCATATCCTAAGCAGATAATGCTCATTATCAAACTTAGTCAAGGTATTGATGTTCTGAAACTATCATTGTGTTATAAAGTCTTCGACAATCACATTGCTTATCTCTACGGACCAACCCATTTTAATAGTCCTCTGCTTTCTGTGAAATTCGGAGTACAATTAACCAATAAGGATCAAAATTTTACATATGAATTCCGAGGAGATAATAATACACATGATAGACAATACAACATTTTGAATTTGATATATCATCACACATAACCAAATAAGTCATCTTGTGATTTAAATCTAATAGAAAAGGATGATTAATATATTTTTTATATTATTTAACATAATTTACCAATTCATGTTGTGTTGGTTGCATTTGATATCTAGCTTCCATACCCTCTAATTCTGTCATACTCTCTTCACCAGTGTAATTATCTACATGCAATAAATAAACATTGTAGCAAACACCATATTATTATTCAGGCCATAATAATTAGTTCTCATACAGCTGTGCCTCTAAAAATGGATGCATGATCCATTTTTATTTTGAAACATAAACAAGCGGTTGCCATGCAAGATACGCCTACATTTTGCAAGAGATGGGCAGTTAACAGCTAAAATACGGGGCCATAATCCATGATGTTACGGTTCGACATGCGTCAATATCAAGAGGAACTGAGATCTTTAGGATATAAACATATATTTTAAGTTTAATCAAAATCTGCAAAAAATTGTGATCTCTCGTTTCATGTCTCTTAGTTGATGTCTAATGGTTGAATAAATGTGGCACGGATATTAAGAGTTATTATCATTTATCAATGGTAGCGGAGCGTGGTTGGTGAAAAAACAATTATAGGACATTTGTACAGTTATGCCGATTTTCTTAAGTGGCGACATTTTGGCGACAGTAAATAGTAGTGCGTAAAACGCAAGAGATACTGATAATGGAAGTAGTTGTCTGCAAAAAAAGGCGCGCGTGAAAACTGATAGCTTAAGTGAATGAAGATAAAAGCCCAACAGCGATAAATATGAGTATGAAATTGAATCCTCCTGAATTTACTGATGATAAATTTAATGATGGTAAAGATTGGCTCATTAATTTCCTCAGTACCTCTCAGTTACAAAACATAAAGGAATTTCTAAATTTGGTGGAGGTGAATGTTTGCGATCATTTAAAGGTATTCACTTACCTTGTATCCTTGATGGTCGAAGTGTGACAATTGAAACTGATGTGGTGGACTCTAAAAATGCTGAAACTGGCCAACTTACGACTTGATTTGGAACATGATGAGGCAGAAATATTTGGTAACAAATGCACTCTTGATTTCACTTTAAGTGGACATTATTGCATTCCAATAGTTGGTGACACACGTGTTGAAGAAGTTTATTAAACTCCACTGTCAATTTGCTCATCCATTTAAGCAGCGTTTAAATGCTTTACTTACAGATGCGGGTGTTTGGCGTACAGATTTTTCTTCTGATTTAGATAATCTTTATGATATTTGTCGAACATGTAAATTATATGCAAAAACACCTGCACGTCCCGTTGTTAGTATGCCACTGTCTCAAAACTTCAATGAACGTTTAGCAATGGACCTAAAGATATTAACCACTGGGAAGTTGATACTACACATGGTAGATATGTTTTCCAGACTGACTGTGTCTGTTTTTGTCTCAAGTAAACAAGCCAAAGTAATTGTAGAGAAAGTGCTAAAGAACTGGGTTTCTGTTTTGGGTTTATGGATAGCCTTTTATTTGACAATGTGGCGAGTTCAGTAATGACCTTATGCAGGAGGTAGCCAATATTTTAGGTGTGAAAATTTGTACAACTCACACTGAGAGTCTTTGGTCAAATGGCGTGAATGTAATCATCATGTGACTGAGAGAATGTTGGACATACTTTGTGGAGAGAACCAAAACACAAGTTTGGAAACCCTTTTAGCAAGGGCGAACATGGCTAGAAATCCATTATAAATGTGGAATGGCTTTAGTAGTTTCCAAGGTTTCCAAGGTTGCACCTCAAGTGAAACCCTGCTCAAGCATTTAAATGCACTTGCATATTCCAGACATGCCTTCATAAAGTGTGAGTCTAATGAACGAATTAGACATCCCTTGCGTCACTGAATACGCGCCACTGAAGAACATTTTGATCCAGGACAGATTGTTTTTTACAAACGAGAAGGTCATGAAAAATGGTTAGGCCCAGCCAAGGTTATTTTTCAAGACGGTCAGTTAGTATTTGTTCGTCATGGAGGGGTCTATGTAAGAGTCTCCACAAATCGCCTCATCAAAGATAACAATGAGCTTCACTTCAATAAACCCCATGAAACGATAGGGTCAACAAGTGACACTATCAACACTGTGCCAGATGAAATGCACCATGTTCCCTCTGTTTCAAATGATGTTGAAGGTACCGGTAGTTTAAATAACAGTGTTCCCTTATCGCTAAATTCTTTGAAGAAAAATGACAAAATAAAATATTGAAAATCAGACTGTTGTATTAGCGAAAGCAGAAAAGTCTACCAGTACTTATAAGTATTGGTACAACGTTCAGTTACCCCAGAGAAAATGATACTGAAATTTCAGTGAGATTTCATGAAATAAACAAAAATTTTGGTCTTCTGGAACTTCACTGAAATATTTATATTGAAAATTTCATTGAAATTTCAAAGAAATTACAAAACATGAAAAATGTCATTTTTTCATTGCAAATATTTTAATAACTGCATATAAAGATTTGTAATTTGTGAAAGAGAGCACTTCGAAATTATGGCCTAATAGTGTCAGAAGACGAAATGTTTTTAATTTCCATTAATTGATCACGTTATTTCCTGAAGTAGACAATTTCATTGACGTTTATTTTATTTGTTCATCGCAGTGCGTAATCCATGAACACGTGATAAATAATTAATATTAACTACTTTTTAAAATAATGTCTAAACTTGTGAATGACTCAACATCAAAATTTTTTCTGATCATTGTATTATGATAGAATGGCTATTTTCTCAAACGTAACACACGTGTTTCAATAGCCATATTTGGAAACAAGGTCATCAATTACGGCACCCATTAAGTTCATTTACGGTAAATATTTTTACTATCAATTAATATAATCATGTTTTGAAAATCAACCTCTTTTATTGTGAAAAGAGAGAATAAATCTAAATCATCTTAAATTCAAATTTTGAGGTCATTGCCGATTAGTGTAAACAATGTCAATGACAGAGTTTCCATGAGTGTCGGGTTACAGGCGAGCGGCACTGTTTTTAAAAATTTTGGAATGGAAAACAATGGTTGTAAATTATATGAAACTCTCATGCAAACAAAAGGACCTCGCGCATGCATGTTTCATTACTAAATTGATAAACTGGTGCTGCTATTTAAACAGATTAACAGGCTAATTAACCTAAGTTCTTTTCACCGTTTCGCGAAAGGCTTCGACATTTTTAATCAAATGTTGAAATTCCTGGAAAAATGGCGCGTATTTGGGATAATAGAGTTGTGTTTGTGCACGTTATTTTCTGGATTATATGACCCCCAAAACACCTATCACAGAATGGTTTGGATAAATTTCGATGTAGTTAATTACCAGTGGCTGCCAGGCAGGATACACCCACATTTTCGAGAAATGGATAGAGAACAAGCTAAAAAGGAAGTGATTTTTCCTACAATCAAGGGCCATAATTCAAAAAATTACAATTCGATATGCGCAAATACCGAAAGCAACCAAGATCTTTGGGTTATAAACTTACATTTCAAGTTTTAACAACATCGGATAAAAATTGTAACCTTTATAGGGTCCACACAACCTTGATATACCATATTTTTACGCTATTCGAGAACAACTGCCGGCCATTTTGTCTGTCAGTTTTGGGCCGATTTTCATGAAATTCGAACTCAGCTGTCCTTAGGGCGTAACGGTGATAAAATAATTTGTTTTTTTAAATCGGATAAAAATTATGACCTCTATAGGGTCGACAAGCAAAAAACGTGATTTTTCGTACAATCAGGAAGTTACGGTCTGATATGCGCGAATATCGACAGGAACCAAGATCTTTGGGTTATAAACTTACATTTCAAGCTTCAACAAAATCGGATAAAAATTGTGACCTCTATAGGTTTCACAAGCTAAAAACGTGATTTTTTGTACAAACAGGGGCCATAATCCATGAAGTTTCGATCCGATACACGCCAATATCGAAAGCAGCCGAGATCTTTTGGAGATAAACCTATATTTCAAGTTTCGTCAAAATCGGATAAGAATAAAATTGTGACCTATAGAGGGTCTACAACCTTGATATACCATATTTTTAAACTATTTGAGTACGAGGGGCGGCCATTTTGTCTGTCAGTTTTGGTCCGATTTTTAAGAAATTGAACTCAACCATCCTTAGGTTGTAACGGTGATATATTCAAGCGCTTTTTTAAATCGGATAATAATTATGACCTCTATGGGGTCCACAAGCTAAAAACGTGATTTTTCGAACAATCAGGGCCATAATTCAGGAAGTTACAGTCTGATATGTGCGAATATCAAAATATCGAAAGATATGGGTTATAAAGTTACATTTAATCAATCTTGATAAGTCTTGCTGTAAAACAAGAAAGGGTTTGAGATGATTTAATGATCTCTCAAAGATTGTTACGCAGTTTAGGCGCTTTCACTGAGCACGATCCGTATCCAAATGAATATATTAATTTTCACCATGAGCAACAAAACTTATGAATGTGTGTTCGGCCGGAGGTTACTCGGGGGAACTTGTATGTGCATAAAGTTAGATAATTATATTTGAGCTAAGCCATTCACTGTGAATGATTCACATACTGATAAGTCTAAGACAGACTTTTGAAGATGATTGGCAGCCCATAGATTGATTTCAGAACAGGAGTAATATGAGAGTGTTTTGATGATCTGGTAAGAATTCGAGCTGCGATATTTTCTACAAGTTGATTTTTTTTAATACTGGCACCAGATGTTTCTACTAACAAGCTGTTACAGTGATCAATCCTTGGGAATTCCAAAGAACATATAAGTGTAGCAGCTGCTTCCTGGCTAATAAAATTCCTGGACCAAAGATAACAGTTTCGACAAATTTCACTAGTATGACTGTCCATGCTCAAATTGGACCCCAAGAGGACACCTAACCTCTTCACAGTGTCTCATGATAAAAATATTGCATCTCGTACAACCACGTCATTTGAACTTGTATTTTTCAGATGTGTATTTTGACCACATAAAATACATTCTGATTTACTTAATTCAATTAAATTTAATTTCAACATATTTCTTGTCATCCTATCTTTAATGTCATGTGTACACAATTTGATGTCAGAATAATTAGGGAATGAAACAGTTTTTGAAAGGGAATAACTTGCGATCAGCTGTGTATCATCTGCATAAGAATGTCGTCCTAGAAACCATGATTATTGATTAGTTGTCCCAAATTCTTAGTATACATTACAGAAAGGACAGGTCCATGGACTGATCCTTGTGGAACTCCCGAATCATCTGTACCGGCCCTACACAGAGTTGCTGGAAGGCGGTTGCATGGGGCATTATCAGGCCTAATAATCCAGACAATGAATGATTTTATTGGAAAAATGATGTCAAAAATGAAGTCATTTTCTTCAAGTTCGACCATCAAACTTAATATGAAAGAAATTCGTGCCAGTCATTTTGTCAAAACCAAATATTAATATTAATAGTCCTCAACTTCCATTATTAATAGAATTGTCCTCGGCCCGCGGTGGGTGAGATATAGCATCATGAAATTTATATGTTTTAGCATATAGCAAAAACTACGTCTCAAAATAAATTCCTCATAGCCTCAAATGGTTTCGGAAAAATTTAATAGTCATTTATATTGAAGTAGTACACATAATCATTCATAAAAAAATCATTAAAAAAAAAAAAAAAATCAATAGACAATGTATGGGAAATATTTTAACTCTAAAATGGCCATAGCTGGTTCTCCGTAACTACAAAGTTGGTGACCCTCATATTTCATGTGGGGTATAACGGGTACCCAATGACCAAATCTGCAAAGTTTGGTTAAAATCGCCGGACACCGCTTGTGCCGGGTTTTTTAAATTTTGAATGATTCTCTAACGAACTCATTCTTAAACACTGTGTATAAATTTAAAGTCAATCAGATATTAACTTAAGACAAAGAATTTGAATGAGAAAAGGGATGGATCCTACAATATTTTTAAGTTATATTTTTAAAATTTATTAAAATAAAGCCTTAAAATAGATGGTATCTATAAACAGTCCTACCTTGTTAAAGAATAATACTATTAATCCTATAATTCACTATTGCCAGTTGAGAAATTGGCAAAAATATCATTTTCATCTTCAAATTCAAACGTTTGAAGATAGCTACTCCATGGTGAAGAATAGAAAACAAGGGAAGTAATTGGGAGGTAATTGTGTAATTATTTCCGCTGTAAATGTGCTGTAAGTGTGAGAATGACACCTATGAGCGTATAACAGTGAGTTGACAACCTATTGAGCAAAAGACATAGAAATAATTATGTTTTGACTTTCTTAGAAAATATGAAATTGTAACTTTAAGATAAAGATGTATTTACCTGTGGTTCTTGTAGCATCTTTAATGTGTTTAGATTTTCTAGTTTTCGGTTTAGGTTTGGAACTAGTGGTAAGATCTCCTTCAGATACATAGGTTGCAGTATCTCCGCCTTCAGTTAACACATAAATATCATCTTTTGATATGGAACTACATAAATAAAATAGTCATTATTATTTTACATATAAATTGAGCTAATTTGCAAAACACAGACAAACCAAACCAAACCAAATCTAACTTCTATTAAAAGGATACAGCTGTGTTTAACAATGTGATTTTACACATGAAAAACCTAATAGTAGCAATTTAAAGTATGGTAGTTGCATGTTTTTCATACTTAATCCAGTGAAGTCCATTCTTAAGCATCAATTGATGTAAATGCAGTGTCTGGATAATAAAGGCAGTTATACAAGCTTTATATTAATATGGTTGGTCTATGACGAATGTAATTATAACAACACTCATAATTCATTTATTTTAAAACATAATAGATATAAAGTTTACACTAATCCATTCTTTTGCCAATAACTTTTAAAAGAGCAAATATTTTATAACAAAATTACATGGTAAGATATATTTATATAATACTATTTTCATTGTATAGAGCCTGCGATGAATAGTAAAATATCTCCAGGTCCCTAAATTCAGCCATTCCCCTTTTGTCTAATAAATATGTGTAGCCAGTGCAGGGTAAGTTTCTGCAAGAGAAACATTCATTGTGCATCATCTAGACCTGATCCAGAGATGTGGTACACATGGCAATGCTTAAACTTTATTTAACAATCATTACATATAGGACTAAGACTAGTAATTATTTCCCCTTATTTCATGATGGACGAATGTAGTGAGAGTTATAAATAGACAATTTTTCCCTTAATTTTTTTCTCCCCTCTTCCTGCATTTTTTGGTTGACTTTTTGGTCTAGAATTGGAGAAAAAGGGATCAAATTTGCAATTTCATAGCAGTTTTGGGTAATGCTAATGATATTGCAGTGGAGGGATAGGGGGTGTAAAGTGTCTTTCTGTAGAGCAATCACTGTGTCGGAACTGAGATTTTCACCCCAGTCAACATCAGTTGCTGAAGAAATTTCTATTCCACTATGTTCTATTTTTAATCTCTCACTCAATACCTGATCTTTCCCAAAACTTGGAAACATGTAAACGTTTTGGCTCTCCACAAAAAAGGCAATAAATCAGATTACAATTAGATGCTTTACGCACAATATGTGGCACTGTGAAGGGAACTAGTCATGATTTACTATATAAAGAAGTCGGTATTTTGCCAGGCAGGATACGCCCACATTTTCAAGAGATGGATAAAGAACAAGCTAAAACGAAAGTGATTTTTCCTACAATCAAGGGTCATAATTCAGGAAATTACAATTCGATATGCGCGAATATAGAAAAGAACCAAGATCTTTGGGTTATAAACTTACATTGCAAGTTTCAACAAAATCGGATAAAAATTGTGACCTCTATAGGGTCCACAATCTTCATATACCATAATTTTACGCTATTTGAGAACGAAGGGCGGCCATTTTGTCTGTCAGTTTTGGGCCGATTTTCACAAGTTGTCCTTAGGGTGTAACGGTGACATAATAATACGTTTTTTTAAATCGGATAAAAATTATGACCTCTATAGGGTCCACAAGCTAAAAACGTGATTTTTCGTTCAATCAGGGGCCATAATTCAGGAAGTTAGGTTCCGATATTAACGAATACCGAAAGGAACCGAGATCTTTGAGCATACATTTCAAGTTTAAACCAAATCGGATAAAAATTGTGACCTCTCCAGTGTTCACTAGCTAAAACCGTGATTTTTCGTACAATCAGGGGCCATAATCCATGAAGTTACAGTCCGATACATGCCAATATCGAAAGGAACCAAGATCCTAGGGTGATAAACCTATATTTCAAGTTTCATTGAAATCGGATAAAGATTGTGACCTGTAGACTGTTCACAAACAATTGTTGACGGACGGACGTACGGACGGACAGGGGCGACGACAATATATGTCCACATGAAAATGAGGGCGTATAAAAACCTACTATACTATTTTTGTAAAACTAATCTATTTTATAATTCTTTCTTTCCTTCAACTACACGACTTTGGAACACTCTAGATCTTTCTATACTTAATTCAGATATGTTATTCATTTTTAAACAAAAACTCTCAAAACATGATCACTTGGTACCTTCTTATTACAATATTGGAAAAAGAAAAATTCAAATCATCCATTCAAGACTTCATTTATCAAACAGTGATCTAAATGGACATGCATTTTTAAGACACATATCCGACTCTCCAACCTGCCGATGTGGACACAATTTTGAAGATCCTTATCACTTTCTGCTGATATGTCCCTTATATTCAGATGCACGAAATACAACCATAAAAACATTACCAACAGAATACACCAACAAAAAATGTTTATTGTATGGCTCTATTGTTCAGTTGAACAAAATAAATCAATATTTACTGAGGTGCAAAACTTTTTAGAATCAAGTACAGTGGACTGTGTGACATCCGACCTCTGTATACTCTGGCACTCTGTGAAATCCGACAACATTTTCATGTCCCGATTTATTTCCTTATTATTTCAACCAAAAAATCTTTGAGTAATCCGTACTCTGAATATTCCGAAATACGACATCAATCAGCCGTCCCGTCACATGATTTCCATTGAATCAACACTGTATAATCCGGCCTTCAATCGGTGAGTGTGAAGCCACAAAAGATTAACGAGCAATCACCAATCAATTATCGGCGAGATTAAAACTCGCTCGCGAAGGTTTTTGTTAATTACTTTGATAATTTTATAATCTCTTGTAAGACAGTTGTGACAAATACTCAAGAATACCCACGAATTTTCCCACGAATAATTCAGTCGCAAAAATATTCCTAGCACCTGTTGGAAACATTCGTTGCGCATGCCGATTGAACCTGAATACCTAAATTTGGTCACCCTACGGATCTATCCGATCTTTGTGACGTCAACCTGGACATAGAACGATAGATTATCAATGAACGCGTGACACCAAAGACAAGTGTGCAATCAACTGAAGACGACGAAGAAGATAAATTAACGACAGACTTGACCTATTCAAAATGCCCACACATGTTAAATGAAATAAAATCTTGAATGTACAGAAAGGTTTATCATTTTTAAAGGGAATAAGGTTCTGGGGATTTGAAGCTACATTATAATAATACTTCCAGTTTTGAGAAAACTGAGTATTCCGACAGTCTGCGTAATCCGACATATTGTTACGATCTCGTACGATGTCGGATTTGACAAAGTCCACTGTAATAGATTTTAAGTACTGTAATCGTCATTTATCATTACCATCACTAGATTCTGTTTACATATTTGTACACTTTCAGGCCTTAAACCAAATTTAGTCATTATGTTATATCAAATAACCTTTTTATTTGAAAAAAAAATATTATTGTATACTTTCAGAATTTTAATAATTACTAACACAATATGAACAGTTTCAACTATATACATGTATTAAAATAAGTTAACTAATTGTAATTATATTGTTTTGTTGAAGGGAGAGGGGTGATATAGGCCTAGCCTGTTCCCCAATCCTATTCTTATTGAATAAAATATAGTTTTAAAAAAAAAAAATTCCTGAAGCAAAAAATCTCAACGGTCAACCCCCCTACAAAATTATAATAAGGAGATTGCCAAATGTTGTCCCCATTGTACCTATTAAGATTGGAACCAACAAAATGTTGAGCAAAAAGCTACGGCCTGTGATGTTACAGCCATTTAACATTGAAGTCAATGTGCAAATAATTGCTAGTCCATAAAGTAGCATTATGATCAAAAAAAGTTGCTTAAATCAGTGAACAGTAATTTGATGAAACAATCCAGCAGTGAGGATGAAGTCCCCTGCCGTGATATAAATATATATATAATTAATTGCACATTCATCTCTTTGTAAAGCATTGAGCAAGCAAACTGCTTATCTATCTATACTTAGCCTTGACAGACAATGCCCATGATATTACATACTTTTACACAATTTGTGTACAAAGAGCGGCTATTTTGTCAGGCAGTTTCATTTCGATTTACCCGAAATTTGAATTCAACCTTCATCATGGTGGAATGGTGATATATTTAAACAGTTTTTAAAATCGGAAAACAAATTGTGACCTCTAGAGAATCCACAAGCTAACCAGCAGCTGCCAGGCAGGATATGCCCACATTTTGCCAGAGATGGATAGAGAACAAGCTAAAAACAAACGTGATCTTTTGTACAACCGGGGGCAATAATCAAGAAAGTTATGGTCTGAAATGCACAAATATCAAAAGGGACTGAGATCTTTGGAATACAAAGATATGTTTTAAGTTCCATCAAAATCGGATAAAAATTGTGACCTCCAGAGGGTCCACAACCTTCGTATTACATACTTTTACACAATTTCCGTACAAAGAGCGGCCATTTTGTTGGGCAGTTTCATTTCAATTTTCCCGAAATTCGAATTCAACCTTCATTATGGTGGAATGGTGATATTTTTAATGGTTTTTAAAATCGGAAAACAAATTGTGACCTCTAGAGAATCCACAAGCTAACCAGCGGCTGCCAGAAAGGATACGCCCACATTTTGCAGGAGATGGATAGAGAACAAGCTAAAAACAAACAGGATTTTTTGTACAATCAGGGGCAATAATCCAGAAAGTTATGGTCTGCAATGCGCAAATATCAATTATCAAAAAGGACTGAGATCTTTGGGATATAAAGATATGTTTTAAGTTTCATCAAAATCGGATAAAAATTGTGACCTCTAGAGGGTGCACAACCTTCGTATTACATACTTTTACACAATTTCCGTACAGTTACATTGTACGGGCAGTTTCATTTCAATTTTGCCAAAAACAAATTAACCGTCATTATGGTGGAATGATGATACATTTAAATGGTTTTTAAAATCAGAAAAAATATTGTGACCTTGGAGAATCTGCAACATAAAAATGCGATTTTTCGAACAATCAGGGGCCATAATCCAGGAAGTTACATTCAGATATGTGTGTAACAATGATATATTGACACTAAGGCTGTGCAAAAATATCGATATAATCGATAATCGGTAGAAGTTATTTAGCGATACGATAATCGATATTGAAATTCAAATATCGATTATCGGTATATTTACCTTCTGACGGCAAGTTACGGTCACTTTCACATGACTGAACTTGCCGTAGTCTGGCATTAGCAGACGAATGAATGAATACACAACGTCAATGCAACTATTTCCCCCCTCTGCTTACAAACTGCCACATTTTAAATATATATTATTGTAAAAAACTAAACTTTAAGATTAAATACATTATTTTAATATTTTCGATGTTTTTGTTCTTATTACTAGTTGAAACTAAAATAGGTCACGCACTTTGTGAACAATGACAATCGCACGTGATATATAGTAAAATTAGAATTATCTCCCTTCTTTGTTCTTGGTTGATTTGTAGAGAAATCGTCTGCTTTCACGAAAAAACTAATTGTATTATTAATGATCAACTCCGCTTTTATTACTAAATCATGTCAGATACAGCCCAGGGAAAATATCTATATCTCTCGTAATTTCGTGGAAGAATTCTACTTTGGTTTTCATCTAAATTAACCAATCATAAAAATTCTACTTTGAAAGCCCGTAATTATTTTTTTATTGTCCAATCAATAGACGCCTTCTATTTTATTTTATTCTATTAGTAGTAACACTGTGTGATTGCCAGTCACTTGCAAAGAGAAACCATGTATTGTCTTTGTATTTATCGGAGATAAAAAAAGGATCAAATGAATCAAGAACAGAACTTAGAATAATACTCAAGTTAGTCCTACATTTAGCAACTAATTATTTTACATTAATTGATTTTTTTACGTACATCGGCACAGTATTAGACTAGGATAATAACACTACTGTAACTCGATCAACATAAATAACAGGTCGGTAAAGTTCAGATTTTTCCGAAAAAAGATAATCGATTATTAACAATAATCGCTGACAAATTCTTGCCGATAATCGATATTGAAATTTCATATTGATTCCCAGCCTTAATTGACACATGGTTCTTTTTTTAAATCGGATCAAAATTGTGACATCTAAAGTTTGTACAATCAAGGGCCATAATTCAGGAAGTTACAATCCCATATGCACAAATATCTGTGGGTTATAAACATGTACATCAAGTTTTATCAAAATCGGATCAAAATTGTGACCTCTAGAGGGTCCACAACCTTGATATACCAGATGTTTACACTATTTACGTAGAAGAGGCGGCCATTTTATCCGACAGTTTTGGTCCGATTTTCACGAAATTCGTACTCAACGGTGATATATTCGAACGGATTTTTAAATCAGATAATAATTGTGACCTCTAGAGAGACCACAAGATAAAAACACGATTTTTCATACAATCAGGGGCCATAATTCAGGAAGTTACAAACCGATATAAGCAAATATCGAAAGCAACCAAGATCTTTGGATAATAAACATGCATTTCAAGTTTCGGATCAAAATCGGATCAACATTGTTACTTCTAGAGGGTCCACAACCTTGATATCCCAGATGTTTACACTATTTGCGTAGAGGGGCGGCCACTTTGTCTGGCGGTTTTCATCCGATTTTAACGAAGTTCGTACTCAACCAACAATACGGTTTAACGGTGATATATTCGAACGGATTTTTAAATCAGATAATAATTGTGACCTGTAGTTAGTGTAGAGGGACCACAAGCTAAAAATGCGATTTTTCGTACAATCAGGTGGCATAATTCAGGAAGTTACGGTCCGATATGCGTAAATATTGAAAGGAACCAAGATCTTTAGGTTATAAACATGTATTTCAAGTTTCATCAAAATCGGATCAAAATTGTGAGCTCTAGTGGGTCCACAACCTTCATATACCATATTTTTATACTGTTTGCATACAAGGCGGCCATTTGGTCAGATTTTCATGAAATTCGAACTCAACCGTCATTAAGGTGTAACAGTGATATATTCAAACGTTTTTTTTAAAATCGGAATAAAATTGTGACCTCCATAGGGTCCTCAAGCTAAAAATGTGATTTTTTGTACAATCAGGTGCCATAATTCAGGAAGTTAGGGTCTGATATACGTGAATATCGTAAGACGCTAAACTTACATTTCAAATTTCAACAAAATCAGATAAAAATTGTGACCTCTATAGAGTCCACAAGCTAAAAACGCGATTTTTTGTACAATCAGGGGCCATAATCCATGAAGTTACAGTCTAATAAATGCCAATATCGAAAGGAACCGAGATCTTAGGGAGATAAACCTATGTTTCAATTTTCGTTGAAATCGGTTAAAAATTGTGACCTGTAGAGTGTCCACAAATAATTGTGGACGGATGGACAAACTGGATGGGCAGACGGATGGGAGCGACGACAATATACGTCCACATGAAAACTTGAGCATATAAAAATTATGACCTCTAATTGGACCACAAGCTAAAAACATCGAAAGGAACCAAGATCGTTGGATTATAAAGATGTATTTCAAGTTTCACCAAAATTGGATCACCAGCGGCTGCCTGTCAGGATACGCCCACATTTTCGACAGATAGATAGAGAACAAGCTAAAAAGAAAGTAATATTTCCTAAAATCAAGGGCCATAGTTCATGAAGTTACAATTCGATATGCGCAAATATCACAAGCCAAAAAAGCGATTTTTCGTACAATCAGGGGCCATAATTCAGGAAGTTACAATCCGATATGCGCGAATATAGAAAGGAACCATTATCTTTGGGTTATAAACATGCATTTTAAGTTTCATCAAAATCAGATCAAAATTGTGACCTCTAGAGTGTCCACAAGCTAAAAACGCAATTTTCGTACAATCAGGGGCCATAACCCATGAAGTTACAGTCCGATACATGCCAATATCGAAAGGAACCGAGATCTGAGGGAGATAAACCCATATTTCAAGTTTCGTTGAAATTGAATAAAAATTATCAAAAGGAACTGAGATCTGAGGGAGATAAACCTATATTTCAAGTTTTGTTGAAATCGAATAAAAAAGTGTCCACAAACAAATTGTGGCCGGATGTCCGGATGGATAGACGGACAAAAAGGGGCGACGACAATATACGTCCACATGAAAATGTCGGCGTATAAAAATTGTGACCTCTAGGGGGTCCACAACCTTTATATACCAGTTGTTTACACTATTTGCATATAAGGGGTGGCCATTTTGTCTGGCAGTTTTGGTCTGATTTCTTACGAAATTCAAACTCAACCAACATTACAGTGTAACGGTGATATATTTGAACGTTTTTTAAATCGGATAATAATAGTGACCTCTAGAGGGAGCACAAGCTAAAAACGTGATAGTTCATACAATCAAGTGCCATAATTTAGAGAGTTAAGATTCTACATGCGCGAATATCGAAAGGAGCCAAGATCTTTGGGTTATAAACATGCATTTCAAGTTTAATCAAAATCGAACCAAAATTGTGACATCTAGAGGGGGTCCACAACCTTGATATACCAGATATTTACACTATTTGCATACGAGGGGCGGCCATTTTGTCCGGCAGTTTTGGTCTGATTTTCACAAAATTCGAAATCATCCAACATTACGGTGTAATGGTGATATATTTGTACGTTTTTTTTTAAATCGGATAATAGTTGTGAGCTCTATCTCTTTGGGAGATAGACTATATTTCAAGTTTCGTCAAAATCGGATAAAAATTGTGACATGTAGCTATAGTGTCCACAAACAAATTGTGGACGGACAGACGGCAGTGACGGCATAATACGTCCACATGAAAATGTAAGCGTATAAAAATGATATGCACATCAACATAAACAATAAAAGACATAGACGTACCCTTTTTTGATAGGAATTTTTTTTCTAGGTGAAGGTTTATAATCTGTTTGTGGTACATTTTGATTAGGATTAGGATTAACTTTATATAAACCTCGTTTAGTATTAGATAATATAGCTGGACCAGAATTCTTTTCTACAGGTTCCTCAACATACTCCGCTTGATTATGTATTACTTGGATGTCTAACTCTTCTCTCTCCTATTTTATATTAAATTAAAATACAGGGTTTGGTGAATACTTCTTCAATAGACAAAAGTATCAATAGCTGTGCAAAAGGAATTGTTCAAGCAAAAGATAAACAGTATTCAAATTAACATTTCATAGTTCACTACGATAATGGTAAATGAAATGATGTCTGCATGATTTCAAAATAGTCTTTAGAATTAGAATCCAGGAAAAAAATAATTATCTAAAGGATGATACTTTTTTATTTTTTTTTTTTAAATACAAGCGTCTGTAAGGCAGTATAAGCCCACATTTTGCAAGAGATGGATGGAGAAAAAACAAAACAAAATGTGATTTTTCATACAATCAAGGGTCATAATTCAGGAAGTTATGATCCGATATGGGCGAATTTTGAGAGGAACCAAGAACTTTGGGTCATAAACATATATTTCAGAATTATGACCTCTAGGGGGTCCACAACCTTGATATACCATATTTTTTACACCATTTGAGTACGTGGGGCAGCCATTTTGTTCGGCAGTTTTAGTCTGATTTTCACGAAATTCGATCTCAAGCGTCATTACTGTGTAACTGAGATATATTCAAATGTTTTTTTTTTAAATCAGATAATAATTGAGACCTATAGAGTGTCCACAAGCCAAAAACTTGATTTTTCGTAAATCAGGGGCCATAATCCATGAAGTTATGGTCCGATATATGCCAATATCGAAAAGAACCGAGATCTTTTTGATATAGCACATATTTTAGGTTTCATCAAAATTGAATAAAAAATGTGACCTGTAGAGTGTCCATAAACAAATTGTGGACGGACGGATGGACAGGGGCAATGACGATATAGATCCACATGAGGGGCAGCCATTTTGTCCGGCAGTTTTGTTCCGATTTTCATGAAATTCCAACTCAACAATCATTAAGGTGCAACGGTGATATCTTCAAACGTTTTTTTAAATTGGATAAAAATTGTTACCTCTAGAGGGACCACAAGCTTTCTGTAAGATTCAGGCAAGACACTGAAGTGAACACCTTCAAATTCTCTAACTTTTCAACATATTGTACCTACATTATGTCTCTAAAATACCAAAACATTCATGGGACAGTAAAGGCTTTTGTATATATTTCAATTCAAAAATAATTTTTGTGTCCATTTTATTTTTAACACCCTTTGTAGCCTCATAATGGCTGATGCCCCGGCTTTATATAAACCAGCGGTTGACAGGCAGGATACGCCCACATTTTGCAAGAGATGGATAGAGAACAAGCTAAAAACAAACACGATTTTTTGTACAATCAGGGGCAATAATCCAGAAAATTATGGCCTGAAATGTATCAAAAGGGACTGAGATCTTTGGGATATAAATAATGTTTTAAGTTTCATCAAAATCGGATACAAATTGTGACCTCTAGAGGGTCCACAACCTTCGTATTACACACTTCTACACAATTTGCGTACAAAGAACGACTGTTTTGTCGGGCAGTTTCATTTCGATTTTCCAGAAATCCAAATTCAACCTTCATTACGCTGAAATGGTGATGTATTTAAATGGTTTTTAAAATCGGAAAAAAATTCTGACCTCTAGAAAATCTGCAAGCTAAAAATGCGATTTTTTTAACAATCAGGGTATCCGCGATTAGCAAAAGGAACCAAGATCTTAAGTGGGTAATGGTGATATATTCACATGTTTTTTTTTAAATCAGATAAAAACTGTGACCTCTACAGGGACCACAAGCTAAAAACGTGAGTTTTTGTTCAATCACAGGCCATAATTCAGGAAGTTATGATCGAAAGGAACCAAGATCTTTGGGTTATAAACATACATTTCAAGTTTAAACCAAATCGGATAAAAATTGTGGCCTCTTTTCACAAGCTAAAAACGTCATTTTTCGTACAATCAGGGGCCATTATACATGCCAATATCGAAAGAAACCAAGATCTTAGGGTGATAAACCTATATTTCAAGTTTCATTGAAATCAGATAATAAACCAGCGGCTGCCAGGCAGGATACGCCCACATTTTCGAGAGATGGATAGAGAACAAGCTAAAAAGTGATTTTTTCCGACAATCAAGGGCATATAAAAATTGTGACCTATAGAGTGTTCACAAACAATTGTGGACAGACGGACAGGGGCGATGACAATATATGTCCACATGAAAATATGGGCGATTAAAAATTGTGACCTATAGAGTGTTCACAAACAATTGTGGACAGACGGACAGGGGCGACGACAATATACGTCCACATGAAAATGTAGGTGTATAAAAAAAACCCACTAAAATTAAACCTAAACCATAAAACTATTATTTTTTAAGGAGAAACCTATGGGATATTGACCTACTCCATAAAAAACTAATCTTTTGTAACATATTTTTTACAAAAAAACTTAAGTTTCATCTTGAACTTGACCCTGTGACTAGTGCTAATATCAAGTTAAATTTTACGCATCGATGCATCGGACGCAAACATCGATTCTCGCATCGATGCATATGGAATTTTTTGCCGCCATATTGTTCATCAAAAATTACAGAAATAATATTAGTATTTCTGATAGAAACATAAATTTCCCTAACATTATCATTAGGCCTATTATAGAAATGTTGATTTATTTCAATAAATTTATTTCCACAATATTCTTCCGATTCACTTCAATTGACACTCGTTAGCCATTTGTTCAAATTTGTTGTGAAGGCGTGAGGGGTGTGCGTGAGGTGATTACAAGAGACAGTTTGCATTATTTATATGGATCATATCAAAGCCTGTCTATAGGGATTTATGAAGTACATTCTCTATTGCCCGTGTCAGAAAATAAGACTAAATCGTTTTAAAACTAGCATTAAAAACCGGCCGGGAAATATTATCCTCCTGACTTAGTTCGTTTGGCCATTATTTACACGGATCGTATACGTATCAAAGCCTGTCTATAGAGATTTATGAAGTACAGTAGAATCTGCATTAAGCAGCCACCCAAGGAAATTTTAACGACTGACCGCTTAACGGGAGTGGCCTCTTAATAAAATCTCGGTGCTTTTTGTGCTGACATAAATTAAATATTACGCTTGGATGCATTGGAAGCGAACATCAATACTTGCATCGGTAAATTTGACCGTCGCTGAATTTTGCGCCGATCGAAAATTCTTTACTTAAGTCTCGCACATAACTTCTCTAAACTTGTCATTTTGTACCAACCTTCGATACTACTGTTTACCATTGTGATGCATTCGATAATATTTATCCATTTTTGTGAATAAAATCAATGAATTAATTTTATTTTATCAAAAAAGCACATGAACAAAAAAACATCGCTGATTTTATCACCTAATTACAGGGGGTGTAACTCTGTATGTAATATTATAGGAGGCGCTAATACGTCTGTTTAACAACCAAGTGGCAATGGAAAAGAGATACTAGATGATCGTGACAAAACTCGGTACTTTTATCTTATTTAATCAGTATCAAATAATGTGTCGTTACGCGTGAAAACAATGATTAGATTAGTCGTTTATTATAACAAAAGATTATTTAACAGATAATCCCGGGTTGATTGTTATTTTTACATTTCTTTTTACCCGATTTAGTGGGGGGCCAGTTAATTAACTACTACTCACGGGATTAGTGGGGGTGTTACAAAGAACGACAAGATGGTATCATTCAACAATGGCCGTTGAATGGGCGATGTTTTGTTGAATTTATTAGTAAAATAGTGACGGCTGGTTGCGTTAGAGGAGTGACCGTTGAATAAAGAGATGAAACAATAGAATTTTTACGGGGGGAATTTATCGTGACCGCTTACAAGGAGATGTCGCTGAATAGGAGTGGCTGCTCATACAGATTCTACTGTACATTCTCTATTGCCCGTGACAGAAAATAAGACTAAATCGTTTTAAAACTAGCATTAAAAAACGGCCGTGAAATATTATCCTCCTGAATAGTTCGTTTGGCCATTTAAATGAACCGTGAAATTGACCTTGGGGTTAAAGGACATGATAGCCAGGGGACATAACCAGCAAACCCAGTCTTTGTAGTCACTGGAAAATGGAGACAAACATAACGGAAGCCTAGGGTAACAGGTCAAGCCTAATAGTACACCGTGTGGGATTATTCCATTGATATCAGCACTCCGTGACCCATGTGACCTTTGAGATGACCTTATTAAAAATATAGCCCTACAGTGTCCTACACAATATCAAAAATTGAAGGTATAATTTTAATTATTTGTCTATAAAATCAAGGTCATTTCAGCAGGAGAAACTTACTTGAATATTCACCATCTTATTTAATAATTAATCTCTTATTATAACATGTTTTTTTTTAATAAAACAACAAGCATGTCAAAGCTACCCATATGTCAAAGTCACCCCATTTTACCTTATAGTAAATGCAGGAGGACCACACCACACAAACAGAAATCCACAAAACAAACCAACAGACATTGCAAGCAATAAATAACAAAAGTATTATATCAAATTAACTGAGTGGATCTGTAGACAAGATAGACTTACAAGGGTCCACTGCTATTTTTAAACTTAAAAAAAACATGTTATAAGGCAACACAAATAAAATAAGTTGTCTCTCGGGCACCGTGCGCACGCAAAATTGGTTGCGCATGCGGCCTATTTATTAGTCTTCATGAAAAATAAAAAATATGTAACGCCCGCCCGAACATCGATAAGCAAGTCATAAAAAGAATATGCCGCATGTATCTACATGCGCCCATACGTGAATATCCATTCAAATGTATTAAACTGATTCAGATGTAAACGCTCATTTACGGGTCTTTTTTATTGATATCGAAAGAACCTCCATTTTTGTATCACGTGATTTTAATTACCTCCCCTTGTGAACTAGAATTTGATTCATGTTAAACGCCGAAAGTCATTGACAACAATGCAATGTATTTCAATCATTCGATCTTAATCGGCTCATTATTGCCGGCTTCAGTCGGTCCATGTTTGAAAAAATCCTACTTATAAAACAATGAATCGTAGAACAGGTTAATTATTATAACTTGTTTCTAC